TTATGCCCTAGATAGTTAAAAATTATAAGAAATTAGATATAGCTTTCTTTATTCCCTAGATAGTTGAAAGTTACAGGGGTTTTAATTTCTAATAACGAAAGGAAATTTATTTGCGAGATTAAGGGCCGAGTGCTAGGGGGCAAACAGCTAGCAATTTCGGGAGTTGATAGGTGCTTTGCGAGCTCGGCGGCCGTGCTTGTTTGGGGTGTTAGTAGATGTTATTTTGCGAGCTTAATGGCCAGGTATTGAGGGGCATGCAGTTTGGGGCGTTGGTGGATGCCACTTTGCGAGCTTAACGGCCGGGTGTTCGGGGGCATGCAGTTTAGGGGTACTAATGGACTGGTGGATATTATTTTGCGATCTCGATGGTCGGGTGCTAGGGGGCATAACGCCCGAGTAAAATGACAATTGTAATTATGAATTGTGTTTTAGTATTATATTATTTTTAATATTATTTCAATTTCTAAAATAATATAATAATCTTAATGCGTTCGCACACAAATAAAACACTAAAACACATAAGCAATACAAACGGAACTTAAAAACGAACGAAAATAATAATATAAACAAGAGCAATATATATATATATATATAGAACTAATATAATTCTACAATTTAATTTAAGACACATTTTTCATATTATTTTAAATATTAATATATTATAATATATAAACATATACATATATATGTCTGCCTAATAATATTGTTTTTTTTTTAAAAAAACAAACAAATAATAAATCAAATAAACAAAAAATATTTTTATAACATTATAAACACCTTTATACATACTAATAACCAACTATTCATAAATTTGAATTATCGGAGCTTCTTAAAAACACAATATATAATTATATAACAAATAATGATTCGGAAATAATTAAAAAAATATATTATTTCAAGAATAATAAAATATATCTAATTTCTTACCAAAATTTATCTATCATCAAGATTAAAGGCTTCTAATAAACTTATATCATTTTTGAGAATCTATTTATAATTATTCCAATCATATAAAAATATACGATTATGTCCCTCTTTCATAATATCGACATCATACAGCACAAAAGCGGCAATACAAAAGCTCTTCCAAGCAATATTAAATTTGTCCATCGTGAAGATTGGAAGCTAGATTTGGTTATAAGTCACAAAGGTGGCAACGCTAACCTTTAGGATGCCTAAATCTAAGCAATTATAACACAAGACATAACATCTACATTTTGCTTTTACCACTCGCCGACTTAGTCCTATAACATTTCCTACAATAGGCCAAACAACACAACAAAATGTAGGAAATTTCCCCTATCGCTTATTTAAATCGTCCTCGCTACCTCACGACGAGCCTGCCAAGCCCCCTCACAATTTAGGCCTAGTAGAAGTCTAGCAACTGCGAGCGAGTGAAATTTCGTTGCATCATGTTATTGCTAGGGATTAGGACACCCTAGCAAGTGCTAATAAAGTAAGATTGTTCAGAACGCAAGCAATTCAAGCTAATAGCCAAGCCCCAAATTATAGCCTACAAGATTGCGTGCACGTAGCATCAATTGCTGGTATTCGGCAAACATGCCTATATGCCAAGACATGTGCGCGACTACACCCATTAATCCCCCTAATAAGTCTAGTTAAATGCCCATAAATAAAATATAAACAATCGTAAAATTAGTCGATCCAAAATATAGTTTCGATATCGATAATAATAACCATATTCCCCTCCATTTCATAAAATCCATTAAAATTCGTAATAAAAATTATTTTTTTTCTAATTCCTATTCTTTAAATGTCTTCCATTGTTAAGACAAAAATGTCAAAATATTTTTCGAAATCCGAAATATATAATTTTTTTTACGAACCACAAAATTCGTTAATTCGTGTATTTCGAACTTCGAAAAGCCTTCTAACATCCTATTCGACAATCCTTTCGATTCGTATAACAACATTCTTCGAAACACAAAAAAAATCGAACTACAAAATTCTTTCTTCATATATTTTAATAAAACATATCATAAGAATTAAAATTACTTTCAACATACATTTATTTATATAAAACATACATATATATATATATAAATATATTATATTTTATTTACATATATTATATTCTAAATATAATATAAAATCATTATTACACTTAAATTATTTATAAATAAAATATAAATATTCAAAAATATATTTCCCATATTTATATTTTCATTTATCTTAATTAACAATTATAAATACATCATTCATTATATATTATATTATTCATTAAATAATGTATTATAATTCAATATCATTAATATATTTTATATAAATGTATCTATTTGTTTTTTCGTTAAAATTCGTATTATTATTTAATGTGTTTTTAAAATTCCCGTTCGCCCTTCCACGATCAACCATATAACACCGAATATACTTTCATATTCAACGCTTACCCAAAATATGAAAAACAATTAAACCATCATCCTATTTCATTTTTTTAAAATAATAACCAAACAAACAAATAATTCTAAATATATAAATCGAAAAAATAATTCGTTATAAAATAAATCTAATCTCTATACCAATAACAATAATACTAATAATATCAATAAAAAAAACAATAATAAGAATAATAACAATTAGAATAATAATAAAAACTCATTTTTCGTATATAATTCGGATATACTTCATAAATATAATTTAATTAATTGCAAAACGAAATATTTTATAAACCCAAATTAATAAATATAATAATAATAAACATAATAACAATAATAATAAAACCAATAAATATAAAAATAAAAATAAAACTTATATTAAGACTAATAATAAAAAATAATAATCATAGTAATATAATTATAATTGAACCATCTCAATATTAGCCTCAATAAAAAAAACCTCATTCTTTAATCTATCTAATATATAATTCGAATATAAATTATATATTAATTATGAACCCCGAATGAAAAATCTAATAATAAACATAATAATAATAATTATAATAATAATGAAAATAAAACCAATTACAATAGCAATAATAATAGTGTAATAATAATAATAACAGAAATAGCAGTGGCGGTTTTTGTAAGAATCTTAGTATTATTCTTTAATAATTCGAATATAATTCGTGGGTGTTCGGCAGATTGCAAAGTGGAATTAATTATAAGCCTAGGACGCTAAATAGTATTAAGAGTAGTATAAATAGCAGAAATAGTAGTAACAATTGCAGAAGTAGAAGCAGCAATGGCGGCAGTGGTGCGGAAGCTTTGTTTTAGTCTTAGCGCTAGCCCAGTCTCACAGAATGCTGCTCTGGCCATGGAACCCAGCCGCCAACACACAAAGCCAAAGACTGGCGCGGCGCCACAGCGAGAGCGTGACTTTGAAAAAAGGTCCGCTTAACAAGACGATGTCGTATCCAAGACCACTTTTTGCGATAACTGCCATGGTTTTAGAGCTCCGGCAACCAAAATGCACTTTGCTCTCTCAAAAAAATACGTTTGGCGCGAGGCTTCCTCAAAGAATATACCCGGTATCGTAGTGCGAACCTCCGCGGGCCAGGCCCCTACCATCAAATATTCACTTTGCTTCACTTTGCCCCCTCCGTCTGGCAAAAGGCCTCCTGATGAAACATAGCGCGAACCCATAACGGTTGCCGCTGCCAGCAAAAGCAAAAAAATGCGCACGGCGCCAAAGCGAGAGCGCGCCAGCCCAAGCCCCTATTTTGCAATGAGCGCGAAGCCTCGCTCTAACCCAGCCTTTGGCACTGTCTCCTGCAAACCCCATACTTCAATAGTAGATGCATCCGGAGATTGCTTTCATCTTAGACCAATGGCGCCAATTGATGTCTATCATGTTGCAATCAACGAATGCATGATTCCAAATTTAGATTATTGGATCGTTGCCAATATCAATGCATGTGTTTTTCCCGAAAATGCGTTTGCCGGCACATCCGCACCCTCGTCCCCCTCATCCAGCAGGTTCAGCGAGACTCATTCGTGCGGTGCCCGCCATGAAGTCCAGCATGTCGCGCGAAGTCCTTACCTTGGGTATGAAGAGCACATGAGTCAAAATCAAACCCGGTAATACAATGGGCGCTACCCAGAACCATGTAAAGAATTAAGGCGGATATCCGCAGATATTTCTGGGTGCGATTGTCCCTACCCTTCATCTACCCGGGTGGCTCACCTGAATGCTTTAGGGGAACGCAATCAGTGTGAACTGAAGACATGTCTGCCAGGTGATTGACCTGCACCGCTGCTTCAACTACAGCCATATTTGTCAACACCGACCTTGGACATGTGTATGACGTGGGACCTGATTAGAAACCCCGAGCTTTAAACTTCCCGCCTCTACCACTTGGATTCGGCATCTTTGGCAGACGACACCATACGTCAGAAAGCAAAGTTGCAAACAGTCAAAGGGTGACAGACTTGATGGAATGATGCTGGAACTGGTTTGTCAAGTAAATATAAGCTCCGCTTGCTTTGAAAGCTTTCAACCAGCAATCGCTCCAGGCACCCATGGCTTTGACACATTTCTCAACCATCGTACACATTTCCAGAAGCACTGTAGACACTGGATGCACCTCCCCCCTTTTGAGGGTGCACAGTTCCTTGCCATCCAGTACGCGTTTCAATTGAAGCTGGAGTTTGGCGCTATCCACAAAGCAGCGTGTAAACCCCCATGTCGCAAAGTGGGGGCGGGTTACCTTCTCAGAAGGTTCAGGATGGAAGAGGCAATCTTGTGAGAAGCTAGGAGGGAGCGATATCAGAAGGTTGGGGGGCAAATTGTCAGGTTTGGGGAGAGGATCTTATGAGAAGGTTGAGTGGGGGGGGAGCAGAAGGGAGATTACAGGTTGGGAATGCAGGCTAGAGGAGCTAGGTGCAGTTGAAGAGCAAAGCGAAGTGCTTGGTGAAGTAGCACCGGTGGCTCGGATTTTTGGAGTGTTGGATGCAGTTCAAGAGAAACCTTTGTGCAAAGGTGATCAAGTGCTTTGTGAATTGGTCATTGCTGCTTGCTTGGGCCATAAGCACGGCAAAGATTGGGGGTGCAGCTTCTTGTAGTATCGAAGCCCGGAGTGCTGAGCCGGCAAGACGTGAGTCTTAAGAGGCAGGAAGCTCTGCAATTCTATGGAGACAACTGTCCCTTATTCCGGCCTCCATAGACACCAATGTTGGACCTTGGGCGCTCAAAGAAAGAAACCAGGAAAAATTGCTCTTGAGCGTCGCCACGCTCAAACCGGCGCCGAAATGCGGCGAAGCTCAGGCCCAGCTTCGCCGCTTCGACGCGGGTTTGATCGCAGGGAGCTGCGGAAGTCCACCTCGGAATCTTCACTCCACAGATCTTAATGCGACCAGCAGGGAATGTGGGGATTCCCGAAGAAAAGGAAAGGGGTTTATAGGGGATGGTTTATGGTTCAAGGGGATGAAAGGAATAAAAGGAAACTATATAGAGGATCGATGGCTTAAAACGGGGTCCTATTCCCTCATTCCCTGCTGAGCGCCAAGAAATATCGAGGGAAAGCATGGCTCATGGTGCGTCAGGCTTTGGCCTGGAGCGACCCTTCGCATTGTTGCTGCGAAGTCTGGCGTTGTATCGTGCATAGTTTCCTTGGAATATTCAGGATGAGGCTACAAGGCCAAGTTGATTGCAGCAGGATCGCAACTACGGCATCGTTAACAGATGTATTGCGCTGAAAGATGACATCTGGCCATGGGTCAGAATCCCGTACCCCCAGTGAACATCCCAATCCCAACCAAAATAGACAAAAATTGGGTGGTGCACCTGCCCCAAAATGGTACCATTGGTATTGACCCACAGCCATCTCAAATGACACATGGTTTGGAGACCACAACACCACTGTCATTCACAAGCAATATGACGATCAGGCTATCATGGGCATCAAGCCAACAAGTAAGCCAAACAATCTGATCGCCATCCCACACTTCCAGTGCGAAAGGTCCCTCGCCTCTGTCACGAAAAGGCCAACGGCAAACTTTTCTTTCTCAGCTCGCAAAGTTTCAACTCAGCCAACTATGGGCTGTTTTGCTCAGTCCTGGTGGCTAAATGGGATCGATCCCGCACGCTCGGCTTTTGCCAAGAGACGTGGTCAGCTAAAATCCGCCTCAGCATGACGTTCCCGCGCCGCAGGCCCGGCGCATCTTCGCCTCATCGATCATCTGCATCAACTGCTCCGTTTGCTGCTGAGCTTCCGCAGCGGCCTGGGGAAAGCTGGGAGTATGGACCAAAGCGGCGCCAAGTTCTCCACTTTCAAGCACCTGAGCCTCACACTCTTGCAAGCACCTGCTTTCTGAAAAGCATCTGAGCATGAAAGTATCTGAACATGAAGAATCCAATAAATTCTAAAGCTTGGTTTTTACCTCGTCCACCTAAGCATACTCTTGCAAGATCTTGCAAGTTCAAGTTTCCTGTTGGGCTGCTTGTCAAGCAAATACAGGCGCCAACCTGCCCGCACATTTGATTTTGGTCTCCCTTATTCACCATGCTTCGTCACATGCCGTTGTTTGCCTGGGAAAGCACCCAACAATGATGATCAGGGCAATCATTGCGAAGAACGGAGTCCACAAACGCCACATCATACCAGCTGCGTCTTGAATGTGCGGTCACTCGGGGACTTTCGGGGTGTGTAATCCCGGACATTCACGCATACGACGACAAACGCTCAGACCGCTTCGAAAGCGGACAATGGCCAAACGCAAGTCTACCAAAGTGAGAGCGGTGATAAGTTTCTTTTTGGGTGGGAGGACCCCTTTTGCTTGGTGCAACCACATGGGGGGGATCCCATTTTGCGACATACCCATTTGATACGTACAGAAAGCAATGACCGTTGCAGGTTTTTCTTCAGCTTTTCCAAAAATATGACATTCAGTGTTTTAGCAGTCATGAGGCAGTATCATAAGGCATTTTAACAACTGCCCAACACATCCCATTTACCACACCCAGAAAATCTTTGAGCAAATGAAACAGACAACGCCTGAGTCACTGAGGGACCTGTTAACCAAAACCAAAAAACAGTCTCCAGGGAAATGTTTTGAGCATGCCCAACACCCTTTGTATCGGGGCTTGCCCTTTTGTTGGTTTTCCTCAAGCTTTTCTGGGTTTCTCAGATCGGGCCATTCTCCTATCATCCCAAAGCTTTCTCAAGGCATCGGATGCAAAGAAACCGCTACATTCACTTCTAGTCAACCATCGTTCTTTTCAAGAACCAGCCATTTTCCCTGGGTTTCTCGAGGTTTCTAGAAAGAAGGATCCCTGGAAAGAATGGGGAAGGTACCTAGAAACCGTGGTCATTACCTCACGTTTTGCCCTTGCAAATGCACAAAGCCAAGCTTGCAGTTGGCAGGGGCAGCGCGCTTGGCAGAAAGGGCCCCGATGATTGAAGCCCCCAAAATCAGCGGACCAACAGCAACATGCGGGGTACATGCCGGTGATACACATTGGGGTGGAAGTTGCTGTCTATTGGTTTGTTGCCGGGTGCATCTTTTCGGGGATGTGGACAGTCGAGAGTAACCCCCCACTTCTCGGAGCGGCAGTGTCCCGACTCCCGACCGCGCACTTCTTCCATTTTCAAGTAGTGTCTGGTAGTTTCTCCACTGACAACACCATTTGGTAGGTTGCTGGATACCCGTAGTTTGACAATCAGAAGCGGAAGAAATCGAAAACCAGGGTCATATATGGGAACCTTGCTGAAATCACACTCAAGCTAAGCTCAACGCATTTCGCATTTAGACATTGACCGGTGCTTTGATATGCTACAGTATGATGAGATTGTGCAAAGTTTATGTTGAACATATTATACATCCCGCAAACTAGAAGCCAAACAGGAACGCCATACAGCTATGGACACATGCTAGAGGTACAATAGGAATGCGCTAGACACATAAGTACTAACTTTTGTAGATGCACGTTAGACTTATTCTAGAACATCTGCGACCAAAGAATAACACATTTGAAATACCTAAACTCCCTTCGAGACCCTTCAAATTGCCTATTCCCCGCCATTGAACACGTTTCTCTTTCTCTTTTTTACGCGAAAAGAACCTTACGCCCATTCAGAACATGGCCCTCTGCTGTTTTCCTTTCCCTCGGAAGGTCGCCCGGCCCATTTTCGAATGCGCCTGCCAGGGGAAAAAGATGAACTTGGACCTGTCGGGCCCCAGAGCTTGACAGAAAGTCAGATGAGCTGGAAGCATCAAACATCCCGGTACAGCTCTGGAAAGCTGACAGAAGTTTGCAGTAAGCACAGCTTTTGGTCAGAAGCCAGCTGATGTGGAAAATTCAGTAACCCATCCTGGCAAGAAAAGAGTTCCAGAAGTGCAAGGACTTCTCCCATGCACAACTGACTTCACTCCCCATATAGTTCCGATGTTCGAGCGCTTGGAACGTTCCAAGCCCTTCCGCCTCCAGGCATCGCTCAACTGCGGTTGGCCGACTGCCACGACGATGTCGAAATCTTCGGCGTCCAAATCCTCAAGGTCCAAGACCTCAACCGCCTGCCCATGCGGAAGGCCTAGGTCGTGTGGCTTGCAGGCATCCTCAAGTTTACTCAGACTCATGTGGGTATGGCTCAAATTTTCAGAGCTGGGGCCAACCGCGGGTTTTAGTCTTTGGGGCACCATTTACCTCTTGGCGCCATTTTGGTACCACGTTTTTGAGCCACAGCCAAATGACCATGGGGAACTTGCCCCATGTTGTGGTGAACCTCATCTTTTTTGGTGGTTTCCCCAATGGTCACCCTATGTAAAGTATTCTGTGATCAACCCCCACGTGACGAATCATGATCACACGGATTGCCGATTGCTTGTAAACAGTTTGATTTCGTGGCGTGCGTCAATGACACATCATGCAAGGCAAAGTGGATACCTATATGGACGCTGACAGGAGGGTTGACTACGAGGGCGCGGCTTAACCACGACAAGAGCTTAAAAATTGAACCTCGACAAAAAAAACAACGCGAACCTCGACAAAAAAGGTCGGAACCACGACGGGACCTGCGACGGGCTACACGACGGGACAGGATGTGACATGTTGGGGCTTACACGACGGGATGGGCCATATAAACACCCGTGAGATACACGACGGCACCCGCGACGAAGCCATTGCGAGACCTGTAACGGGCCACACAAGACAAGTCCACGACGGATCGAGGGACAGGACTGCGACAGGCCACGCATCCATGAGGGGACAGCCGTCACCAACATGGGTTGAAGAATTGGAGGAGGGACGTGCCACGGGCGATGTGGGGGACCACGACGGGCCAATGACGGGGCCACGACGGGACCTTGGTTGACTACTTTCCTTTGAGGGACTTCCATGATTGCTGGAAAGAGGGTAACTGTTCTCCAAACGTGCAACTTTGCTCCTCGATGTACCGCAAATTTCCCCTCTCGAGAGCTGAGAACCTGGGTGTTCCCTAAAAGTGTCGTGTTGCCTGAATGCTGAAATGTGAGACAACTGCTTGGTGTATTCTTTTTAGTTTGCTCTTTCAGATTGGCTTACAAGGCAGCCAAAGGAAAACTGCTCTGTCAGCTTTAAACAGGCACTCCCTGCCCCTGGACTTGGCACTTGCACGCTTTCGCTTCGGAAGCAGTAAGCTTACCCCTGAGTTCGGCAGGGTAAAGGTCCGGAGAATTTGTTTCGCGCTGCGGAGAAAGACAACAAACGCCAAGACGCACAAACCAATCTATATGGACAACACACACACAGGATGAAATGGCTGTGGGTCAAAAAAAGGTACCAAAAATGGAACCCTGGTGAAAGGAAACATGGACTTAACCTGCGGTCCCCTGGTGGGTTAATTTTGACCCACATCCAAATGAACGCATTTAAGCTATCTTATGGAAGCCACACACACACATGATCAACTGGAAGTTTTCGCTTATATATATATATACACTATAATATATATATATAATATATAATATAATATATATATAATATAATATATATATATAATATAATATATAATATAATATATATATATAATAATATATTATATATAATATAATATAATATAATATATATATATATATATATAATAATATATATATATATAATATCTTCCGCACGGTTTTTGGATTTTCGCCGTTTCCTGCGCGCCTGACAAGTCAGACAAGTCCATCTCGCCTTCCGCGTGGCATGCGGAAGCTGCGGACGCTGCAGCGATGCCGAGCTTGCGGGGGCCCTTCTGCTCGAAGAGCCATTGGCCCAGCTGCTGGGCCCATCCCGCCTTGGTAGCCTCGGGCCCGGCTGACCGAAAAAGCGTGTTGGCGATCTATGCGTGGCTTACACCATCCAGAAACGCATCTGCGACTGTGCTTTTTAAGTCCGATTACTGAACCATGCGTAGGCAAACAAATGCGCCTTCAAGTCAGTATATATATATATATATATATCTACACATGTGTATATGAAGCACCGTCAAAATTACTTCTGTTGAGTTTAGTATTCGGCGTTTTGTTGATATTGTAAGAATTCACAAAACCATGGCTAACGATAGGGGACTCTCAAACAAGCGATACCCCTGGAAAACGATGGAAACGCTGGAAAACGATGGGGGACTCTCAAACTAAGTAGCGAAACTGGCGTAAGTAAGCAATTTCGACCGTGCCTCGCGTATATATATATATATATATATAGATATACATATATATATATATATATATATGTACCCCCCTATAGATATATATATATATATATATATATATACACATAGTAAGCCATTTTGTTCGTGCCGAGGGGCCATTGCGGGCCCGGTGGTCACCATTGACTATTCACTGGCATGTGTTCACAGAGGAATCTTCTGGCGTACTGCCGGGCTCCGTTTGCGTTTCAATCGATCACTTTGGGCAGGGAACGAAAGGCGAGTTTGATGCATGAAGAAGCTAGCAGGTGCATCGACCTAATGGCAACCATTTTGCAAACATATGGGTGTGGGTCAAAAACAGGTACCCCAAATGGAATCCTGGCAAATGGAAACATGGACTAAAACCTGCGGCCTGGTGGTTTCATTTTGAACCATCCCCATTTATGTTCCACGCGGTCAGTGCTGGGCAACACGAACCAACTGAGTTGCTCCTAGCATGGACTCGATGTTCAATTGTCCCCCACCTTCCAGCTCCAGAAGGGTCTATCTTTGCGCGCTCGCCAAGCCGAATGGGCACGATGAAGCGGGGGGGGGTCTGTTTTTAGGGGCACCCCTTTTCATTTCTGGTTGGTTAAAAGGCAAACCAAAACGAAAACCACCTTGTTGCGGGGTCCCCTAATTCTGAGGCAATCCGTGCTTGCGCCAAGGGACCACCACCAGAATGTTATGCAGAAATTGCGGGCCGTAGGTCTCGTCGTCCAAGCTCTGGAAGGCGTTGGGCATCGCGCATCACTCAAGCGCCGCAAGCGCCGCTGGCGGTGGTTTTGCTGCTTGGCACTTAATCGACATGATCCTTGCTGGTTGAAAGGGAACACCAACAGTCATTGTGCTGCTCACTTGGGGTTGAAGACCCCCTCTTAGGTGCAGTTTTATCTGGATGCAAGGGAAAAGGAAAGCCAACAGGGCAAAAGGCCAAAGGTTCTTTGCTTGTTTCAGCATAGTCAACATGAATTGCCTGACATGCTGGCAGAAAGGAACGCTGGCAACGAACCGCTACTACCGCTCCGACAGGAAAATGGTAAGACATGCCCCCTCATACAAAGTGAAGATGGCGCCATGTGTTGTGAATTATGCGTGTTGCTTGCAAGCTCATCAACCTCATCTATCCTATTTGGCTTCTTGTCCAACGATTGTATGGCATATCAGCATCTTGATACTCCTGGACAAGCCCAACACCGGCATGGCACAGGCACTAGATTCACTGAGTCCACCAAATCCAAATGCACAGCTATAACATCCACCGCAGCTTCTGCAATTGTTGGATATCAGAACTAATCAGCAAGCGATCTTTTTCAGAACGTGCTGGATTTCCTACGTCAGCAGTACCTGTCCTACAGAAAAGATGAGGCAAGACTGGACCTTTTCTTGTTCCTGACACTGCAAGACCAGCTGGTGCATACAGAATACGTGAACAGCAAGCCATCATCCCCGGTTCCTTCGAAGGAAATTTCAGACATGCTAATAACAACCAACGCCTTGCCGGTTTCAGAAGTACAGAGCCCTTTGAAAGATTGCTATCATGTTGGCTTCCTTTCTATTGTCAGGTTCTAGAGCTTGGATACGCCTTCGAAACTCTTGGCAATCTGATGCAAACTGCTGTACCGGTTGCCCATCCTGGAAAACGATGCAGAGAGTAATTCTTGCATATCCCCAATCACATGCGAGCCCTTCTTGTAATTGTATTCTGTGTTTTATCCCAACTGTGAGCTTGCGTGCTGTAGAAAAGATTGGTACAGCCAACATGGACACGAAAACTATAAACCTTTCTTTAGACCCTTGCTGCTAGCTTCCCTCTTGAAATAGTAGCACCCCTCTTTAGCTAAGAAAACACCTGCAGAATCGACTGAACCCCCCCAAACCATTCAGCTCCCCTTCAAGGCGGCGAGCAAATGTTGCTTTCTTCGCCTTGATTCAGCTCGAAGTCTCCCTTGATCCTCGGCAAAAAAAAAACTTCCGGGAACCGGAGGAACCCTCTTTGGCTGGGATAGCACATCGCTGACCACAAACATCAGGTGAAAAAGCGCACAGCACACGCTGGGAGAAATACCACAGGCGGTGAAGGTTGGGGGGGGAAGCTGGGTAAATAAGGAAGCAACTATAGGTTGGAAGTGTTTCCTTGCATTTACCGCATCGTTCTCTTCAAACGCTTGCGTGAAGTCAAGTTTGCTAGTAAGCTAACATGGCAATTACTTGGCTAGTTGGTTGGCTACGCTGTTTCTTATTTTTTTTGAAAGTGAGCCAGTCGGCGAGTTCCCTTCCCCCCCATTGGTGGTTGGGATTGGTGGCTTGCTGGTTGAGGATGGTGTTCCACTTACCCTCTACAAGAACCAGGGACCTGTTCAAATCCAGATCCAAGCCACCAATCTAAAGCAGCCTGATGGCTTCCCCGAAGCTTGGGAGACTGGACTCTTTCAGTACACCTCCAGACCAGCCAAGCAGAACATTGCTCCCGCTTGTGGCTTCCAGTTGTCACAATCAAGAGCAAACAAACCTATGTATATATGGTACAGCGTTGCCAGCCCCCCCCCCCCTCCCCCCCCAATGGTCATGGGGCAGACAAGTACCCCCCCCCCCTGTGGTTGTGGTCCTGTGGTTGGGTTGTGGTGGTTTAGGGTTGGTTTAGAATTGGTTTAGGGTATATTTAGGGTGTATTTAGGGTTGGTTCAGGGTTGATTTAGGTTGATTTATGTTGATTTAGGGTTGGTTTAGGGTTGGTTTAGGTTTAGAGGTGTACGGTTTAGGGTTTGGTTTAGGGTTTGGTTTGAGGTGTATTTAGGGTTGGTTTAGGTTTAGGGTTTGTTGTTTAGGGATTGGTTTAGGGTGTATTTGGGGTTAGTTTAGGGTTGGTTTAGGGTTGGTTTAGGGTTTGTTTATGTTGATTGAGGGTTGGTTTAGGTTTAGAGGTCTACGGTTTAGGGTTTGGTTTAGGGTGTATTTAGGGGATCCGGGGGCTCGGGGTCCCGGGCCGGGGGGGGGGGTCCTGGGGGACCATACCATATGGGGGGGGGGGTAGCAACACGGAACACGGGACCATATATATATATGTATAATATAACACTCAAGCAAACCAATCGGGAATGAAGCACAGGAAAAATCAAACATGTCCAAACAAATCACATACAACGACAAACGAAAGAACGAGCGGACGCACCAACAAACCAACAAACACTTTCTGTGAAGCAGGCAGGCGAGCAAGCAAGCAAGCAAACACACACACAAATAAACAACCAAACAAAATAATGAACGCACAAACAAACGAACGACACACAAACACAAAAACAGAACCACAGACCTATCCAACAAAACAACCATGAACATATACCCAAGCAACCTCAATCTGATCAAAGCAATCGCAATACACAAACTTGTGGAGGCATGTTCAGCAACTTGTAAAAGTCCACTTCCGGACTTCAAGTCAAGTTCTGTCACTCACCCCTCTTTCCGCACACCAAATCCTCATCCCACAAAAAGTGAGGCGCCGACTCCTCCACGAGCTGGCGAAGGGATTTGGACATAGCCCGTGGCACAGCCTAGCAAACCAAGTATGAGTTCGTCCTTTCAGGTTGGGCCCCAGACCCAAGTCAGTGTTCGCGCCATGGTCCGATGCGAATTGATTGTCATTGGACATTGATCATGCATGGCTTTCATCACATACTCTTCTCGCAGAAGTAGGTGTCCCTCTAGCCTTTACGTTGAGCATAGATGGCACTAGTTTCTGTTTAGTTCAAATCACTTCCTAGCGCCATCTGATTTGTCCCCTTATATATAAGTCGCTGGCTTCGAACATCATCGGAATAACACATTCTACAGACATTGTTCGTACTTACGCGAGAGACAGGGTGAATTACAAACGTGCAAGGCAAACTACCTGTTCTTGCAGATGATGCATTCATGTAAAATAGCACGTCTTCTCACATCTTTGGCTGAATTCGTTCACGCAAAAGATATTGATGGCTGCTTCGAGTTTGAACAGCTGGCCAAGCTGGCCATTTCAACTAGGTCCTCCAGCAGAGAGGTTGGAATAAGGGTACCCGTTTTTGTTTTTTGTCTATTGGTGGGGAACCCTCCACCAAAAACGGGGTGAGAACGGGCAGTACTGAGGGACCCATTTCAATATGAACCTCGCGGCAAGTTGGACCGAGAGATCTGCTCCGCGCCTTTGCCTCGACCTGTTTCAACCTCACAACGGCCTCAGACTGGTCTTCGTTGGTCTCCCCTCGGCAATGCAGAGAGACCTGCATTCTTGGCCGCCCAAAAGGAGGTCTATGACATGACGTCCAAACACATGCGATTTGCCTGGGGGAATGCCACACGTTGTGTTCAAAGAACGTAGTTTTTATGTTATTATGTCGAGAAGCTGGATTTCGTTACGTGCTTTCTGACAGACTGGTCACCGCCGCGTCAAGCCGTCAAACATGGTGCATGCATCCGACCATCCCCCAGGGGCAAAAAACATGTTTGATTGATTTTCGGGTGTCCCCTGAGTCACAATCAAAACCCGCCATACAAATGGTCAACCCAGAACCATGTCAACAGTTAAGGCGGGCGCACCTATCTCTGGCTGGGACTGTTTTTTTTCTAACCTTCATCTCCCCGAGTTTTGATTGTGGCTCTTTTCAAGACTTCGGCGTCCATCCGCGAAAAGCGCCCTGGGAGCATCTCTCCATGCGCCCCCGCCATGGCCGACATGGACTCCCGCAGCGCCTGCATGACCCCGACTCGGGGGTCCCTTTTTGTAGTGGCCAAAGAATTCTTTGGCCAAGGCGGCCCACTGAACACCGACGCATGATCAAACAACCCCCAAACTCCCCGAAACTTGCGGAATGACCATGAGTTTTCCGCCTGCGTTTCAAGCCATCCAGCGGATGCCAAAGGAGTGCTTCCCGGCAAACCCACCACGCCATGTCGCGAAACCAGCAAATGGCAACAACATGGGTGCAGGGTACCCTTTTTGGATGGTTTTGGACAACTAAACGGACACCAACCTGTTTTTGGGCCCAAAACAAGACACGCCCAGCCCACCCAGCCCAGTCCCTGCCCGTTCCCGGAAGCCGAAGCGAGCGGATCCGATCGGCCTTCTGAGCTGCCAAACCTCGAAGCTGCCTGCGTCCCATTCGACGGGTAGAAGAATTGCAGGTGACATAAAACCAATGCCAATGGAGACCAATAAGGAGACCAATAAGGAGACCAAAAGAAACCAAAGGAAAAACCAACGTGTGGATGCCAAGAGTCTGATTTGTGGCGGTTGAAGTCTTCATGGCGATTTGGGTTATGGTACCCATGGAATCTGACTAGAGGCTGGCAAACCACTTCCCGTCAAAACCTTCCGGTGGGTTCCGTCATGGATGGGTGCTCTGCTAGACAAACGGGTTGGTGGTGCCAGAGATGCGAAAGAAAGGAAAGTCACAATTTTGGGTCATCTACCCATTTGTACATGGTCATCTACATTTTGGGGTGACCATCCACATGGCTAAGTTACTAATTTGCCATATACCCATCTGCACATGAGGTCCGGACCGTGAACAAATGCCGTCTGTTTTTGGTTAGCGAGGAGACGATCACCAGCCACTCAAAGAACGCAATAAGGGGGGGAAGCAGATCGGGTGATTTCAATCAACGGGTCAAACGTCGGTGCGAACTCACTGCAACACTCCAACATGTGGTGTTTCAAAACATCAGATATGGATGTCTTGGGTCTCAGCCCACTCTTAAATCAACAAAGCACCGATGCCGCTCCAAGGACATGAACCCAAATGACCAGCGCCCGAAGCCCTTTGACTTTCGCTTGTAGGAGCGTTTATATAGCCCGTACAAGAACCTGTATACACCTGCTAGAATGGCCGATACAGCTCTGCTCAAATGCAGCTCTGAACTTCAAACAGGCAACTAGCCAACTGATCAGCCCGCCATCTTGCCACTCAACCTGCACGCCAACAATGCAGCACAGCGAAACGCAACTGGAGCCACAACGACAAAGTCGATTTCAACTGCAATCGCAACTGCGTGCTTAAGCAACTGCAATGCTAGAAGTGACGACCACCTGAGAAGATAGCCAGCCACTTCGTGTCGCCCACGCCTCACCGCCTTCAGCATGGGCTCAGGGGGCCAGCCGCTGAAAAGCACCACAGGCCGAGCCTGCAGCGATTCAACGCTCAACATCCCAATGCCGTGCCAAGCTCCCGGCGATTCATGAAAAGCTAGGTCCTCCAGTAGAGAGGTTAGAATAAGGGTACCAACTTTTTCTGCAGTCTATTTTTAGTAGGGGAACCCTGCAAAAGGGCACTACTGGGGGACCTAGAAAGATATCTATGAGCAAAGTCCCGCAACGAGCCAGGCGTGCGTGCATTCCGACCAGCTGATTCGCTGGGCAAAGGTCCGTAACGAAATGTGCCGGTCAAAAAATCCTCGCACAGAACGCAGCTGCCTCCGTTTGAAGGGTTTTGGACTCGGAAACTTAAAGTTGCTGCCGGACCTCAGCGCCTCGTTGTGCCTATGCTCATTGTGCGCAAGTGAGACACGTATGCAGCGGATTTGGAGGGTTCCAATAGCAGTTGTGACTTGCACCGGTCACTTGAATCATGGCAAACAGGAAGGACGTTGTTCAACCAACCAGGCATGCAAAGGACGCTAGGTGAAGGTCTCAACATGTGGGCCTCCTTAATTGCTGCACAAGGGATTGAAACAGAGTTTCGGGAGGAGTTCAACAGGCCAAACTGTCAGGACTGGAGGCACGGGCAGACTCGACTGGCTTCACGGTTGTTGCAGCACTTAGAGTCCATTCAAGCAAACCTGCGTTGAACGCACAGGCTGAATTCAGGTCAAGTGTAGAGCTATATGCAGATTCCTATGTTGCAAAACTAAAACACAAGCTTCAAGCAACGAGAACGCAAGAGTTTGGCCTGCAAACAAACACCACACATGTGTTTGATATTCCCAGCCCACCACGGAGAGCATAGTAGCGTGTGTGGGTCTGACACAACTTGCTATAACACGTGCAGGGCAAAGTCTGGATATCATTACTTGGTGGTCCATTTCCACTGGAAGCCCAAAGGGAGGAACCGGTCCCAGTGTCCTGACACCGGGCGCCCGTGCAAGCCGGGCCTCGGCACCCATCTCAGGCAATACCTCGGCCAAAGAGTCGGATGTGGTGACTGGACGTGATTGACACCTGTCTTTGAATGGTACCATTTTTGGGGTAGGTGCAGTGGGGATTGGGATGTTCACTTGGGGTGCGGGCGTTTGACCCATGGCCAGCTGTGACCTCTTAGAGCTATGACGGTTGTGGGTCTGTTCTCCCATTACCATCCTCCTTGTTGGGGAAGCTACTGGTACTGGTGGCGTGCATAAAACTTCGTAATCCAATTGGGAAGGGGATCAAACCCAATTACCTGCAAGAGGAAACAACAACTGCACACCCTTGCAATCGACATGTGCGACCCCCGATCTCCGATCAGAGTTTGATGCAGGTGGCTGCGCCAGGCTCTTCAGTTTGTCGTCTGATTGCAAGATGCCGGAGCTTGCAACTGAGAAGTAACTGCCAACTGAGCTCGAATGAAGCACATTTCATTTGTGCCTGCACGCCTCTGCATGGAGACGAGTCCTTTCCGACCTTTGACTTGAACAACAAGGAACACCACTATGTCGGGGGTCTACCTAATTTCACACAATGTGAAAACATGTCGCGTGGCTTGACACAACCCCCTGCTTTGGAAAACACGCGACCTACCACAGGCCTCATGTCTTCATTGTCCCACTTCCTGAGTGGATTGGAAAACACACCCAAACTTTTCGCTTCCCACTCAGATGGTATTCCCAAACAGGAAGTGAGTTGTGAACAAAACGCAAGCAACCCGCGGCTTGGACAATGGGAAAAAAGGTAGAGTATCAATCAGTCTACAGACTCTTCCTCGCCTACTTCGTGCAGGTGCGCAGCCCACCACATCCTGAATGAAGCTGTGACGACACATTTGGCGCTAAAAACAACACGCTGATGGTCCAATGGCTTGGCAATTTCCCCAGCTGTCCCACAGCCCCCTGGCCATGCTGCGTTCAGACTTCACATTTCTCGGTAAGCATGCTGACTTGTTTACCATACTTAGAAACCCCTCCTTCTTCCAAGCATCGCGATTTGACTTGCCCCCACAAGGGCCCCGTTTCGTTCTCCAGCCTCTGAGAGTGCACCGGGGATCTCACCGAATCCATCTCCGGCAGACTGCTAAGCACCTGACAAATCAATTCCGGCAGGTCGGATCATGCCTGGTGTCTGGTGTTCTGATCCGATGTCAAACTTAAAGCAAATAGACGCATTTTCTCCTCGAGCACAAGGGACCATTTCGCCTTTTCCCATTGCAACATGGTCACTGGCCATTGACTGGGTCCCGCTGCTGACACACACAGACACACACATGCTGGATGCATGGCGTGCATCTTTCCTCCCCTTCCCACACCTCAGGATCGCTTGGCTCCGGTAGTCCAACTCCAGTCTCAGTTATATATAGATGCGCTCAAATGCACACCTGTACGACTCTATGACTGTTCGAATCTTGCACACGCTCGGAAGCGCGCAATGGCTCAAACTTCCCTGGGAAGGGTATCGCCTTGATCTTTTAAGTTTGAAAGAAAGGATCACGGAAATTATTCCACGGGCTTTCCATCACCTCACACCTCATCCCCTGTCACCATGAAACCCAAACCAGTCACAGCTGCCTCCTCTAGGCTGCGATCCATATCTTCCTGGCGCGGTCAGCCGATGTGAGACACTCGGGCCGGCCCCGTTTAGTCACAAGGAAGACAGGGATTCCTCCGTCCCTTCTCTCAGTAAAACTCACAGCTTTCTGATTCTCAGCTGGGATGGGGACAATCGGAGGCCGAACCACAAAACTTTGAGGGAAAGCAATCAAAAAGGACACCAGCACTTTTTGTGTCCCAAAAAAGCGTTGCCAAAAACGGCGCCAAAAGGTACATGGTGCCCCAAGGACTAAAACCCGCGGAATTAACCCCCAGCTCTGAACAAAAATTGAGCCATACCCACAATCTGAGTAAGCTTGAGGATGCCAAGCCACACGAAGCGCCTTGAAAGGCAATCTCCAATGACATACTGATGGACCAAATCCTGCATCGGAAACCCTGAAGGGATGACTCCCGTGTACCAACAAACAATGGCCTCACCATGGTTTCAAAGTGGTGCAGGATTTCGTCCATCAACATATTACACTGATTTGAGGGTAGGCTGAACCCCTCGCAAAAAAAAAAAAAACAGATGGCACATCGGTCGGCGTTTGTAAATAGTGGCACTCCCCTCCGATTTGTTGAGCCATCTACTCTCAAATCAGAGTACTGGGTGTCTCGTTTTTTGGGACATCCACTTTGGGGCTCTTTCTACTTTGAGACAACCCAATATTCATTCTCTTCATCCCGGTGCAGCATGCTCCCTGGACCATATTTCTTTTGGATGTCTAGAAACTGACTTTCCAACGGTTGCTCGTTTGATAAGTCTGGTGTCCAAGAAGTGGACCTTGGCCTTTTCACGAGTCTTTCAAAGCCACGGGTTGTCTGTACTTCCGTGCGCTTCCGCGGTTGTTGCAAACAGGGTCATCTTCAAACTCCAACCAACACTCGGAACAACACATCCCCAGTAAATGACCTAACATCGTGAGCTGGTGTTGCCCCCGACTCAGTCATAGGCAAACCCGGGTATTCGCATGGTCTACCCAGAACCATGTGAAGAATTGATCTCGAAAAGGCGGCTGACCCAAATAAACGGTTGGGACTATGCCTTACTAACCTTCATCTACCTGGGTTTTGAGGATGTGGTTCAGGAGTGAGCTTGCCAGATACGCAGCACCCATGATTCCAAGCGCCCTCCTTGCCTCGCTGAGTACACGAACCGGCATGCCTCGATGTTCGAGCGAAAAGGCACGCAAAACAGTAAAAGGGCCTATGGACCTATGGATATGCTGAAGTGGCTGCGTCCAGTGCCTTACGATCGAACTGCACCTCCTTGATCAACTATCAAGCACTCGTCTCCAACGATTCTCATCGTTTGTAGGGGGTAGTGTGTATTTTGACCAAAACGGACAGGTCCAATACTCAAGGCCAATTCCCCGCCGTTTATTTCCTAAGTAACCTCAAGGAGACGGGCAAAGGCATCCGAACATAAATGCCATGGTCACAAGGGTTCCTTCATCATGGATCCTCACTTTCAAGTAAGATTGAAGCCTTTTGCAGGACAGGTCCACTTGGGTCATCTGGGCGCTTCTGCTTCCTCCAGCAGTAGCCCTTCCAAGAAGCACAAACAAGAACCCACACACTCACAACAAGATTGGTACTTGGCATCACTGATTTATCTACAGCTCCACTTAAATCACAAGAAAGGCGACACAAATGCCTGCACAATGCATTCCGTAGTTGCTTTGAACTGGCACGCATCAGAAGTGTATGAGTAAAGTACCAGTGGAACGAAGCTGCAGCGTGCCTTGATAGTTCCATAGACAAGCAAATCTATGTGATCCGAACTCCTCATAGGTCCTGACCAAGGAAATGCCTGTGATGTAGGGCTCACATTTGTGCAAACAAGATTGAAGCAATATGGGTGTGTGTGCCCTTTTTTTGAAGGAACCATTTTTAGAAGGGTTTAAAGGGAAACCACAAGGACAACGACCATTCTGGCTGTTTTTCCCCAACAGCTGAAAGCTTTGGGGTCTCAGCCCAGTTACCTGAGGTAAGTTTCCACGAGGGTTCCACCAGGGTTCCACGAGGGTCCGCGAGGTGGTGCGCGTACTAACAAGAGCACCGCATGCTGTTGGGGATATCACCTGAGCTGTTGTTGTTTATTTTTTTGGGGGTCCGCTAAACAAGTCATACCCATATGATTCATTCGGCCCTTTGCCTCCTCCAAAAACGCACACCACCATGGCTATCTCGCTCGTCTCAGGAACTCCTGCCTGGCTCCGCAGCTGTCTCCTGGACAGAACCACCATTTCACTGGCGAGTTCATCCCAAGTGTTGCCACAGGCATGACAAAGCCCATCGCAATCAGCAAGCAACTAGCTGACCTGTCTCGGCTTGCCTCAACGCATCCTCTCTTGGGGCGTCTCCCTCTTTCAGTTGCCAGCTGCATTCTCGCCAAAATGACCCGCCCAGTTTGGCCTATGATGGTAGGAACTCATTCCGGCCAGTGGCCTCAAGGTGCACCCTGTGTCTTTTCTTCTGCAGTTTTCGCGGGGTTCAGTGGAGCTACTGATTCCTTGGTGTCCGGGGCCTGCTTTGAAAACGCAACGCTCACCAGCCATGAATTGTTTAAGGCTGCTAAGGAATGTTGGCTTCAAAACGAGGGCATCAATCTTCTATCAAAATCTGTCTGTTGCCACTTCATTGGAGAACCCCCCAGAAACCAAAAAATAGCGTGTTTCCACGAGTTCAGTGAGGCAGGAGGGGTCAAATCTCATAAAGCAGGGTCAGCCTCCTCGACTTAACATTGAGCAAGTCGCTCATTGTAATTTCTATGGGTGACATTATGTATGCTTTCTAAAGGCAAACAGTAGTAGTTGGACTATGTATCTGCAGTCACCTTGTCACCTTCATCAAGCTACTTGATTCAAGCTCAGGCAGTCAGAAACGGGCATGTGCATGTTCTAATTGCTGGCCGCATTGCTGTGACTGGACAAACGATCTTCTACTCCGTCGAATAATCCAGGATCCCTGAAAGAGATGTGAAGAATGTGAACGGAATGCACGGGTCCTAGCCCAGCGCAGTCATGAGCGGGACAAGGGAATTTGACGTTCCAAGACGAAGGAGCAACATAACATGCGCATGACCTTTCAACAGAAGGGGACCCTATCAACCATGGTGAAAGGTTGAGCAGTGTTTGTTCCGTAGCTCACGTGCACGTTCCCGTAGAGCGCAATATATGACGTTGCAGGAGTTTCCGCTTATGCGCGCATTCAGGAGTCCTATTAAAAGCCTGCTCAAGCTCCAACCATCGCTACGTTTCAGTGCCACCGCAGAAAATGTTGCACTGGCCATGTTCGGCTCAACCTGGTAACCGGTGGTGTGACTCTAAAGAAGGGCAGGTAAAAACTCAAAGCCTACTATGCCTGCATATGCGGAGCTACGCCTCCATCCATGATAGCCTCTGCGAACTGCATGCAGCTCCCTCTGCGCACACCCAGTCATTTCAGTATGTCATTCAAACGCTTGCTCAAGTCGGCAACCGCCAACATCCGCCAAACTCTGCACGAAAGGAGTCTTTGTCGTGCTGGCTAGGCTATAACTACTTTGCCCAGGCATACCCCAAGAGGCATACATGAACTAGTCAAAACAAAACAAACAAATTGAAATGAACTTTAAGGATCTCTCATTTGGAGAAAGCCCTCTTTTTTCATGTATAGAGCGCCTGTGCAGACCCGCGCACGTATAGAATGCATTAACTTTCTGCTCTGAGTGCATTCTGGTGTGGAGGCTTCAGGCATTGCTCGCTCTATCGAGTTGCCAGATGTATACAGTACAGTAGAAGTGGCTCCGCCACTTGCACACAGTAGCCCTTTCAGCACTCCTTTGGCGATCCGCTCTTTGAGACTGACTTCCTGCCTTGCATCCACCAAGTCAGCATCACTTTGTGCTTGGAAGATGCAGGTATGACATCATCATTGGCATGTCGTCCTAGAATGTCCTAGACCAAGCGCAGGCTCGGCCCAAAGATCTCGATGGGGGAGAATGCCGTTCCAAAACACCTGCGGTCCAAGTTCCCAATCAGGAAGTGTTCTTGGTGGTCAGCAAACCAATCGGACACGAGCTGTTTCAGGTAAAGTGAGCAGCTTTTGAGACAGCCAATCATTTGTGCTTGACTCAGCCGCAAATGATTTTTCACGTTCTTTGCTCGAACCCGCCAGAGACAAACCAACGAGCACAACAGCGGATGGCAAGAGTATGTTGGACAGTGGACATACGCAAGGACACGCTTCATGCAGGGGAGGTGAAAAGCTAGGTTGGGCCAGGAGGTAAGCACGAAGGCTGCGAGCAAAACCATATTTTCCAGCAACCGGGCACCGGGAATTAGCAATGTCTGTCCTTCGCAGAAAAATGGACACATTCAACCCCGCAGCGGAGTAAGAAGCGAACGAGTGAACTACGGCAACTGGGCCACCGGAGAAAGCGTAGCCCCCTGAGCACGTTGAAACAGCAACCTGGGGGGTGTCTTTGTTTGAGGGTACCCTTTTTCAGAATAGTCTCACAGGGACACCAAAACGAATCCCAGAGTGACACAGGGCTGTGGGAAATAACAACTTCCGTGATACAACAAAAAGGGCATCCCAAAGACTCCCCCCTCATATAACGAGTGGATTCCCTTGCATCACAGACAACCCCTTGATCCCACAACCCCGTGACACACCCACTTGAGGCCAACATGGGCCAGAAGCCTGCGAAGCGCGCCTGAGCTAATGCGATGGGATGAAGCGAAGGGCGGCCGCATTGATGCAATAGTGGGAACGCCCATCCCCATCGTCCAGAATGTGACCCAAGTGTGTCCTTAGGAAAAGGAAAAACAACCACAGGTCCCGAAAACGTGCAGGTGTTCCATGAAAAGAAAAATCACAAAGTTAACCCACATTCGACAACACCCGATCAAGACACGACAAATCAACCACTGCAATACTGTGACATAAGGCCTCAAGAGATCACGCTGTGCACCGTGGCTGTGAATGTGTAGTGCTGCGTACCGATGCCCTCTTTGGTTCAAATGATCACCTACAATCATCACCCTCTAGTGGAATTGCGCACGTGAGACAATCATGCAGCAGTGGCAGCAGTTCAGCTCAACAGCTGCTCATTCATCATCTGCGTGAACCTTCACGCAGATGACAAGATGGAGCTTCAGTCACGGGCGTGCAGGCAAATCCGCCGACCCCATGCCTGGTCCAGAATGGACCATGCTTTTGGCATGGGGGCGGTGTGTTCTGTGTTGCTTTTGTTGATGTTTTCAATAGGTTTAATGCAAATATAATTAGGCTGGATTTCTGGATCCTCTGGATGTCCACCCCCCCTCCCCCCTCCCCCCTCCCCTCCCCCCCTTCCCCCCCCCCTCCCCCCCCCTCTCCTTCCTGTGTGTGTGTGTGTGTGTGGGTGTGCGCGCGTGGGCGTGCGTGCGTGTGCGCGTGCGCGTGCGCGTGCGCGTGCGCGTGCGCGTGCGCGTGCGCGTGCGCGTGCGCGTGCGCGTGCGCGTGCGCGCGTGTGTCTGGAGGTTTTGGAGCTTTAAACGTGCAATGCACTCACCCCATCTGTGCAATCCACGTGTCATGGACGCCTTGTCCAACACTTCAGTGCTCCACATCTCCGGTGGCAGCCGTTCCTGATCACGTGGGTCCTGAGCGCGGCTCAACACGGAACTTCGGCTCTGTCAGGATGAATTGCCCTTTGGCTAAAAACATGGTGCTCCCAAAATCCAAATCGAAAATGGGAAGAATCACCAAACTGGAGTCCCGATGTCAGCCACTCCCGTTTCAAAGCGGATCAATGTCGATGTCTGTTTTCTTTATAGCACTGCTTTTTGCTAATTCTGACTCAACACAAAGCCCGCCATGTGCATCTAAGCCACACAACCAATTCCCTCAAGCAACCCCAACGCCACTGCTAAACCAGCCACACTTCTAGCACAGCTCCAAGCCGACCCAAACCCCAAGTGAAGCCTACACCAACACGAAAAAAACAGAAAAAAGCAAAAGCTCAACCCACTCAAAGTCAAGCCCACCCAAACGCTGAAAGGAAAATTGGCCCTCGGCGAACTGAAACCAAGGCAAGGCCCGTTGAGATCTGGCCACCAAAGGCTTGCCAAAGAAATCGACCAAAGAACGCGCAAGTGGAGTCTGGCTAACTCACACTCTGTAGGCCCTTGCCCACACTTGCTTTTCTCAGCTTCATAGACTACCATCTGCTTTCCACTCCCAAAACAATAAGCGTGAGCCCTTCATGTTGCTGTTCACACACGCCCGGTGCAAGCCTAGATCCCCAAGCAAGAAGCCCATCGTGTGTTGCTTTGGTGCTGTGTTGCTTTTGTCAGCCTAAGAGCAATCCAAACAAACCTGACGCTGGGAATCTTTCACAAACGAAGCCCTCGCTTTGGTTCCATTAATTAGTTTGCAAGGGGATATATCAGTTTATCAGGGGATATGTCCTTTGTTTTGCCTAGTCGATGTCTTTGGTGAGATGGACATGTGAACTCTTGTGGCATTTAATTGAATATCCTAAATCCTACCAAATCTGTGGTTTAGCACAAATGTTGGCACGTGTGTGTGTGTGTGTGTGTCTGTTGGCCAACCAATTTTGTCAAACCAATTGTTGCCTGACACATTGGGGTTCTAAGCCAAGTGTCCCAAACCCAAGCAAACTGTGTGTATGACATCAACCGCAGCGCGGGTGGGGAAGCCGTGGCCTTGAACCATTCATTCGGCCATTTTGTTTGGCAAGATTCGGGCCGAAGTGGCGGTCTGAATTTGAAACCAAGCTGAAAGATCACCAATCAGCTGAAGGGCCTCCACCTTTTGCCCTAAACCAGAGCCCTCGTTCTTTTTGCTTGAGTTCAGCTCAGGAATCCACGGGCCAAAGTCAATCCGATTTCGTGCCCACTCCCAACTGTATGCCCTCGACATGGAATCGGTCCTGTGAGTGCCTACTTTCTTGTAATGATCCGAAGAAAGAGAGGCTCAATGGCTTGGGTCTTGCCACAACATAGGTTAAAACAGGGATCCTTACATTGTACACCTGAACATTGCCTTGTAAATGATGAGTTCCCCTTATTTTGGTGGAAAAAGCCACGCTTCAAATGGGCAAAATGTATCTTTTACGGAGCCATGTAAAACTTGATGACTTGGAGTTGCTGTTGCAACAAACAAAAACACGACCAGCTGCAAGATTTCAAGGTCAGGACAAAAAAACACGGATTTCTGCCATAAGCATTGAGCTTCAT